GGTGGGCTTTTGCATTGCTTTACCATTGTGACCAGTGTGGTTTAGTCCTTCACGTTCACTGTTACTATTCTGCTTGATATGCAGAATGAATTGAGATAGGCTTAACGAGTTATTGGCTAATGTGTTTCTAGTGATTTAGCTAACCCAGAGAAGGTTCCATCTAAGAGGGTAACTTATGGTTCTTATGGGATATATAGTAGGATAATAATTGGTGGCCACGATAGCGGCCGAGGCTCCAGAAAGGGATAACAAAATATTTTTCAGGTACTTATTGACTGCATATCTTTGTCAAGGAATTGTCAAGGAAAAGGGAGTTTGTAGACATTTCATTCTATGTCTTTAAGCTATATTAGGGCTGGAAAAATACTATGGGGTTAAGTAACTTGCCTGGCATGTGCTGATCCTGCTTTAACTCCAGCACCACATGGTCCTGTAAGAAATGCTGGGAGCAACCTCTGAACACAGAGCCAGGAGTAATTCCGGAACACCACAGGATGAGGCCTCCAAAGCCACCCAGACACAAAGAATAAAATATATTGTAAAGCTACAGTAATCAGAAACATACAGTATTAGAATAAAAGCTGACTTTCAGACCAAGTGAATAGAATTGAGACCCCAAAAATAAACTCCAAGATGTATGGACAATTAATGTCAAAGAAGCTAGGTATGTATAGTGAAATAAAGAAAACCACTTTAACAAATTGTGCTGTGAAAACAGGGTAGCCACATGCGAAAAATGAAGCTAGACTCCTCCTATCTCCATTCACAAAGATTGTCTCAAAATGGAATGGGTTCAGGATACAGTATAGTAGTTAGGATGCATGACTGCATTCATCCAACCAAGGTTTGATGTTGGGCACCACATGATTCTATAAGCTTTGGAGGCTCTTGAGTATTGCCATGGTGAACTGGTAATCTCAGTACTGCAGAGTTCAAGCAGCATAACATCTTGGTGCCCTTGCATTGAGCAGCCAGTGTATTTGGCAGAGAATCGCTGATGGAACACTTAGCCCTCCTGAGAAACACTTGGGAGCCGCCTCTCAAATTAAAAAAAAGACTCCAAAGTGTTAGATCATAATGTAAGTTGCCTGCCTTGCAGACAGAGAACTCCTTTTAATCCTTAGCATTGCATATGGTCTCCACCCACTGCTAGAGTGATCCCTGAATACAGAAACTAAGGATTTATCAGTGCTAAGTCTTGAGCACTGATAGCTTTGACCCAACCCCTTTTAACATAAATTTAAAAATAGATTAAGGATGTTGATATTCAATAAAAAAGATAAAAACCATTTAATCATATCAGTAGGCAGAAAGCATTTGACAAGATCTAGCACCTATTTATCATGAAAACTCTCAGCAAAATTGAAATTGAAGGAATTTTCCACAAAACCATCTACCACAAGCCCACAGCAAGCATTATTCTCAATGGGGAGAAACTAAAAACCTTCCCTATAAGATCAGAGAAAAGACAAGGCTGCTCACTCTCGACAGTCTTATTCTATATAGTACTGGAAGTTCTTGCCATAGCAGTTAGGCAAGAAAAACATTAAGCGCATCCAGATAGGAAATGAAGAGGTCAAGCTATCACTATTTGTGGATAACAATGCTATACTTAGAAAATCCTAAACACTCTACAATAAAGCTCCTAGAAACACTAGTTTTATATAGTAAAGTGTCAGGCTACAAAATCAATACCCAAAAGTCCGCGGCTTTCCTATACACAAATAATGAAAGAGAAGAAAGATATTAAAAAAAATCCTAGTCACAATGGTCACGGTCACGGTCCTCCCGTTGTTCATCAATTTGCTTGAGCAGGCCCAGTAACGTCTCCTTCGTGAGACTTGTTACTGTGTTTGGCATATTGAGTACGTCACGGGTAGCTTGTCAGGCTCTGCTGTGCGGGCGAGATACTCTTGGTAGCTTGCCGGGCTCTTCGAGAGGGCCTGAGGAATCGAACTTTGGGTCGGCCATGTTGGCTGCGTGCAAGGCAAACGCCCTACCCGCTGTGCTATCGCTCCATCACTAGGTGATGGAGCGATAGCACAGCGGGTGCTCAAGTTCCTAGTCACAATAGTGCCTCAATAAATCAATTATCTTGGAATCAGCTAGCCTAAATAGGTGAAGGACCTATGCAAAGAAAATTACAAAATACAACTTCAAGAAATGAGGACACTAGGAAATAGAGACACATCTCCTGCCCATGGATCAGGAGGTGGTGGTGCTGGGAAAACTGGACAGCTACCTTCAAAACAATGAACTCAGACCTCTATATAAAGCCAGGCACAAAAGTCAGATCAAAATGGATTAAAGACCTCAATATCAGACCTGAATCCATAAGGTCCATGGAGGAAAATGTAGTCAGAATCGTCTGTGCCATTGAAGCTAAAGGCATCTTTAAGTATGAAACATCACTGACCAAGCAAGTGGAAATGAATATAAGCAAAATGGGACTACATTAAACTAAGAAGTTTCTGCACCTCAAAAGAAAGGGTGACCAAATACAGAGAGAGCCCATGGAATGGGAAAAATTGTTTACCCAATACCCATTGATAAGGGGTTAATATCCAGAATATACAACTTTAGTAGAACTGTATAACAAAAAACCTCCAACTCCATCAAAAAGTGGGGAGAAGAAATTAACAGACTTCCTCAAAAAAGAAATACAAATGGCCAAAAGTCACATGAAAAAATGCTCTACATTACTAATCATCAGAAAGATGCAAATCAAAACAATAAAATACCATCTCACACCACAGAGACTGGCACACATCAAAAAGAACAAGAACAAACAGTGCTCACACGGATGTGGGGAAAAAGGTACTCTCTTTCATGTTTGGTGGGAATGCCAACTGGTCCAGCCTTTCTGGAAAGCAGTATGGGCGTTCCTTAAAAAACTAGAAGAGCTTCCATATAACCCTGCAATATCACTTTTGGGAATATATCCCAGGGTACAAAAAAGAACAGTAGAAATGACATCTGTACCTGTATGTTCATTCCAGCACTGTTCACAATAGCCAGAATTTGGAAACACCCTGGGTACCTGAGAACAGATGACTGGTTAAAGAAACTCTGGTACATCTACACAATGGAATAATATTCAGCTGTTAGAAAAAAATGAAGTCATGAAATTTGCATATAAATGGATCAACATGGAGAGTATCATGCTAAGTGAAATGAGTCAGAGAGAGTGGGACAGACATAGAATGACTGTACTCATTTGTGCAATATAAAGTAACATAGTGGGAGACTACCACCCAACGTCAGTAGAGGCAAGGACCAGAAATATTGCTCCATGGTTGGAAGCCTGCCTCATGAGCTTGGGGAGAAGGCAGCTAGAATAGAGAAGAGATCACTAAGTAAATGATGGTTGGAGGGATCACATGGGATGGGAGATATGTGCTGAAAGTAGATAAAGGACCAAATGTGATGGCCTCTCAGTATCTGTATTGCAGACCATAATGCCCAAAACTGTAGATAGTATGGGGGAGATTGTTGTCTGCCAAAGAGGCAAGGGGAGTGGGGAAGAGGGCAGATACAGAGGACTTTGGTGGTGGAAAATGTGCACTGGTGAGGGATGGGTGTTCAATCATTGTATGACTGAAACTCAAATATGAAAGCTTTGTAACTATCTCATGGTGATTCAAAAGGTAAAGGTAAAGGCCCTCCCGTTGTTCGTCGATTTGCTCGAGCGGGCCCAGTAATGTCTCCATTGGAGACTTTGTTGTTACTGTGTTTGGCATATCGAATACGTCACGGGGAGCTTGCCAGGCTCTGCCGTGCGGGCGAGATACTCTTGGTAGCTTGCTGGGCTCTCCGAGAGGGGCGGAGGAATCGAACTCGGGTTGGCCATGTTGGCTGCGTGCAAGGCAAACACCCTACCGCTGTGCCATATGGTGATTCAATAAAAAATAAAAAATAAAAACTTTATGCATTAAATAAAATTTAAATTTCATATCAACTTTTAAAATAGTAAATATTGAAGGAATCATAATGGTATACAGAAATAGTGCATGTATATTGTCTATATAAATATATATTATGTATCAAAATACATATATTATTGTGTATATATCTCCTAGAATTATTTTTTATTCAAGAGATATGAAATCTGAAGAGGAATTTTGCCAGCATGGCTTTTGATTCCTGTAATGTTTGGGTAAAGTTTGGCATATGATCAATATTTGGACTGCCCATGTCTAAAATTTTTGGATTTTTAATATTTTTCATAGTAAAAGATATGCTATCTTGTATCATTATAAGAACTCTTTAATAAAAAATGGATGTTGATATTAGGCCAGATCCTATATCTCTATGATCTATATCTTTTCAGTAAATTGACTACATTGACAAAGAATACAAAATCAAAAATAAACAAATGGGACTACATAAAGTATTTTTGCACTGTGAAAGACACTTTGGCTGAAATAAAAAGACGCCCTACCGAGTGTGATAAAATATTTGCATACTTTACACCTGATACATGTCGAATATTGAAGATGGATAAAACATAAGGTTTAACAACAAGGACAACACTCTTATCAAAACATGCAAAGAAGAGATGAACAGATATTTCTTGAATCGTTTCTTCTTCAAAGATTTGTGTCTGCATTAGGCAGGATAGACAGCTGTCATTGTTTTTGTACTGATATTTCTATGAATCCTATCTTCTAATCTTTCTTTTTTTAGTGGTCACCCAATAGATGTCACTGTGCTTGTGCATCAACCATTTTTTATAATTAGATTCAAGGCACTATCTATTTCAAATGGAATAAATATGTAAATCCTGTAGTATAACAATATATTTTAAGAAACTCTGGGCATATTTATAAATACTATTCCCTTAAGAGAAGCCACCAGCTGCACACAAAGCCAAAACTTACAATTATATATTAATATACTTAGACAACCAAGGACAGTCTTGGGCATTCTTCAAAGCATTACTATTTGCATTTGTTGATCATAGATGTTAACTATGTCAGAGCGATACTTTGATATATTGTAAAAAATTATTTATCCTGCTCTGTTTTTTTGTCATCTTTGCGCAGGGGCTATGCTAATCTTCTCTGTATCATTCGAATTTTATTATATGTGCTGCCGAAGCGAGCACTATCCTGCTTTAAATTAGACTTTATTTTTTTACCTCACTCTGAGATTTCTACCTAGATTTATCTTTCCCTAAATGTGCAAATTTTCTTCATATATAGACAATACAGTTTTGTTCTTTTTTGATTTCTAATGACCTTCTTCCTCTCATTTATTGCTTTTTCCTAAATTTTGTCTTTATGATGCTTTAAGAATATTTTTCTCACTAACTTTTATAACGAAACTGTACATTCTCAATCGGCATCATGACTTTTTGGACATAGTTTCAAGTTTTGAAGTATAGATTCCCTCTGCCTGTCCCTGCCGGTACAACTTTTATAGCTTTAAAGAAGTAAAGTAGGCCAGTATTCACATCGCAAATGGAAGATTTAAGGCAAATCCCCATGAAGCATGGTGGTACAGGGATGCTTTACTGTATGCTTTTTAAAGCATATTCTTAAGAAACTAGATATATAAATCCATATTTGAAAAAACAAATCTTAAATATATTCTGTTATGTGGTGTTTTAAAAGATTGTGTGTACCTGTGCTGGAGTTGGCCACATCAGTGCTGAGCCAAATTATAAAGTCCCACTTTTGATGCAGTCCTAACGCTTGCCGGGGAACCCCTCTGGGAATGGGCACTGGTGGAGGGATGGGTACTTGATCATTGTATGATTAAGACATGATCATGAAAGTTTGTAAACCTGTAACTGTATCTCACGGTGATTCATTAAAAAATTTTAAAAACCAAAAAGATTGTTGTGTGGAATGCTCCTATAATATTGGTAATTATTAGTAATTTCTGTGATCTATAGATTAGATATTATAATAATGCATTTTCATAAAGTGGGGCACACACATCTATTCTATCACCATATAGGGTTTTTTTTTTTTTTTGCTTTTTGGGTCACACCTAGCGATGCACAGGGGTTACTCCTGGCTCTTCACTCAGGAGTTAGTCCTGGCAGTGCTCAGGGGACCATATGGGATGCTGGGAATCGAACCCGGGTCGGTCATGTGCAAGGCAAACGCCCTACCCGCTGTGCTATTGCTCCAGCCCCACTATCACCACATAGGTTTTTAAGGAATGATCCCTTTGTCATATCTGTTTTCTCAGTTTGATCTTTCATGGTCTCCTTTAGCATCCTGTTTCACCAACTTTGTGACTCTGGTCTATTTTTGATGACCATCTCTTATAAATATATCAAAATATGATTATATTACTATATAATGGGAATTAATAGGGAGCAAAATAAGCATATGCATTTCTATGTTTATTCAAGTTTCCTGCTATCCAAGTCAAGCAGGTACAGCCACATTACGTGGGTTTTTTTCCCCTTGAATATTGTTACTTATTCCAAATCATCTTATTTTGTTTTTCAACATGATGTGCTTACTCTATCCACTGCTGAAGTGAAATGGCACCTATCCTAATAGCAGTGAAAATGCTATTGGTTTTATTTGTAATAGAAAGTGGACCCTCTTTTGCTTTTTCACTTTAACACATCTTTCAGTGTTGACAAGTATAATGGTTCTTTTGATTTGTTTTTAAAAGGGCGTGCACTAGTAATCTTATTTTAGCCTTTCATTTTCCCCCTACAATTCTCCCCCTTGGCTTCACTTGCCTCTTTGGGGGAAGATTGCATCTGAGACTTTCTTTCCTTCTACCCTTGTCATGCTTTGCAGACTAGTTTATGGAGAAATACATCAGATGCCTGCTGTGCATTTAAATTCCCCCACTTCCCTGCTCCATTTATGTACAGCAACTGAAAGACAAATAGATGAATACAGGGCCATTTTTGTCAGCTTACGTATTAAGGTGCATACATTACCAAGCATGCATACTGCTAAGTACAAGTTTAATATATGGAAGCAAAAGTGGTAGTATATCAACTTTGTCCACAGAGGAGAAAAAGGGTCATTGTTTATGAGAATTAAGTGGAAGTGTTTCATTCCTTATCAACCAAAGAAATTAAGACTGAGAATTGATCCATCTGGTTCCTGCCCCGGGGACCAGTAGAGATTAGTCCTTGTTTTATTATATCCTTAGTGCTTATTAGTTTTGTTCCTATTTATTATATTATTATTAATTTTTACAATTGCTTCAATAGATACTTTGACTGTTGCTCTTCCACTTCTCTTGATCAGACAGACTAAGGCTGTTTTTCATTTCAAAAGAGATATCCTCTTTTCTTTTCTTTTTTTTAAGGCTATTTCGTATTTTATTGACTAATTGTGTTTGCATGAGATTTCTTTAAATCATTCCAAAAGATGAGGAAGAAAACAAACTTCCATTATCACTTAATACCGCCATGAATCCACAATCCTCTTTTCTTTTCAACTTTTAGTAAGCCCATCCCACCAAACTTTTGTGAAGTTACTGCAATTTGGACTTTTAAAAATAACTTGGGCTGGAGCGATAGCACAGCGGTAGGGCGTTTGCCTTGCACGCAGCCAACATGGCCGACCTGAGTTCGATTCCTCCGCCCCTCTCGGAGAGCCCAGCAAGCTACCAAGAGTATCTCACCTGCACGGCAAAGCCTGGCAAGCTCTCCGTGACGTATTAGATATGCCAAACAGAGTTTCTTTAACCAGTCATCTGTTCTTGGGCATTCAGGTTTCTTCCAGTTTCTGGCTATTGTAAAGAGTGCTGCAATGAACAAACAAGTGCAGATGTCACTTCGACTATACATTTTTGCCTCTCTGGGATATATTCCCAGGAGTGGTATTGCTGGGTCAAATGGGAGCTCAATTTCTAATTTTTTGAGAATCGTCCATACTGTTTTCCAGAAGGGCTGAACCAGTGGACATTCCCACCAACAGTGAAGGAGTGTCCCTTTCTCGCCACATCCACGCCAGCATCGGTTGCTTTTGTTCTTTTGAATGTGGGCCAGTCTCTGAGGTGTGAGATGGTATCTCATTGTGGTTTTGATCTGCATCTCCCTGATGATTAATGATGTAGAGCATTTTCTCATGTGCTTTTTTGCCATTCGGATTTCTTCTTTGAGAAAGTTTCTGTTCATTTCATTGCCCCATTTTTGGATGGGGTTGGATGTTTTCTTCTTGTGGAGTTTAACCAGTATTTTGTATATCCTGGATATCAACCCCTTGTCAGATGTGTATTCGGTGAATATCCTTTCCCATTCTGTAGACTGTCTTTGTATTTTGGTCACTGTTTCTTTGGAGGTGCAGAAGCTTCTTAGTTTAAGATAGTCCCATTTATCTATCTCTGTTTTCACTTGCTCGGCCAGTGGCGTAGCATCTTTGAAGATACCATTAGCTTCAATGTCATGGAGGGTTTTGCCAACTTTATCTTCAATGTACCTTATGGTTTCTGGTCTGATGTTGAGGTCTTTAATCCATTTTGATCTTATTTTTGTACATGGTGTTAGGCAGAGTTCTGAGCCTATTTTTTTGCATGTAGCCGTCCAGTGATGCCAACACAATTTATTAAAGAGGCTTTCCTTACTCCACTTCACATTACTTGCACCTTTATCAAAGATTAGATGAGCATATGATTGAGGAGAGATGTCAGTGTATTCAACCCTGTTCCATTGGTCTGCAGTTCTGCCTTTGTTCCAGTACCATGCTGTTTTAATTATTACTGCTTTGTAGTAGAGTTTGAAGTTCGGGAGGTTGATTCCTCCCATTTTCTTTTTCCCAAGAATTGCTTTCGCTATTCGTGGGGGCTTATCGATCCATATAAATTTCAGGAGTGTTTGCTCCATTTCTTTGAAGAATGTCATGGGTATCCTTATAGGGATTGCATTGAATTTATACAATGCTTTCGGTAGTATTGCCATTTTGACAATGTTAAGTCTCCCGACCCATGAGCAGGGGATATCTTTCCAAGAACAGATGACTGGTTAAAGAAACTTTGGTACATCTACACAATGGAGTACTATGTAGCTGTTAGAAAAGAGGAAGTCATGAAATTTACATACAAGTGGTACAATATGGAAAGTATCATGCTAAGCGAAATGAGTCAGAAAGAGAGGGATAGACATAGAAAGATTGCATTCATCTGGGGGATATAAAGTAACAAAGTATGAGATTAATACCCAAGAATAGCTGAGATCAGCACCAGGAGGATTACTCCATAACTTAGAGGCCAGCCGGGTATCCTAGAGGAAAGGGCAGTTCAGATAGAGAAGGGAGCACCAAATAAAGGATGTTTGGAGGATCCTCCCAGGAGGGGAGATGCATGTCGAAAGTAGACTATGGACTGAACATGTTTGCCACTCAATGCCTCTTTTGCAGACCACAACACCCAAAAGGAGAAAGAGAACACAGGGGATTGCCCTGCCACAGAGACAGGGGGGATGGGGGGATGGGGGTGGGAGGGATATTATCCATGGTGGTGGAAAATGGGCACTGGTGGAGGGATGGGTATCTGATCATTGTATAATTGAAACCAAAGCACAAAAAATTGTAAATCTACAACTTTAAAAAAAATAAAATAAAATAAAGGGGGAAAAAAAAATATGCCAAACAGAGTAACAAGACTGACAATGTTACTGGGCCCGCTTGGGCAAATCGATGAATAACGGGAGGACCGTGACCGTGACTGGTCCTCTCTTTCCCCTCATACATTTCCCCTGTTCTGACTTTTATAAAGTAATTTGGGGAATTTTGTTACTAGATAGAGTTTTAATATTGTGACTTTCTTAAAATTAGTTCTCTGAGAACAACCGTCATTTCTTTATAAAAGGAAAGAAATGGAATTGGAAGGATTTCAGTTTACAGGAAATGTATCAATACCTCAGTTCCTCTCACTCTCCCTCCCTCTATTTCTTCCTCTTTGCCATTGCTCACTCCCTCTCCCTATTCTTCTTCTAGGTACACACACACATACATACACGGAGACACTCTCTGTGTCTGTCTGTCTGTCTCTCTCACACATAGGAATGGAAGCAGAAGTATTGAAACAGACTTGCGGAATAAGAATCGAAAATATTAAGGAAACAGTAAGTTAGATAATTTCTAAGATGTACGGGACAGCAAAGATTGTCCATACTTCCCC